CCCACATATACGTGTGTGTGTAATTTGCTGTGTGTGGAGGGGAGCGCAGTTTCACGCTGCGGGGCAGAAGGCCGTGGCCGAACGAAATGCGCCGCCGTCCTCTCTCCCCGGACGGGATGCCGCCCGCCTCGGTCCGGGCACGGCGCGGCGATGGGGGCAGCCTGTCCCTGGCAGCCCGGCCGTGCTGCCGCGGTCGGGTTGCCTCCTCCCCGGAGCCAAGGCTGCGGGCCGGGCCGGGGCAGGCCGTCTCTGCCGCCGGGCTGGCTGGTCGGCCGGGGCTGAGGGAGCCCTCGATGGCGAAGTCCGCGCTGGCCCGGCCGCTAGCGCTCGCTCCGCTCTCTCCGCAGGCGGCTGCGAGGAGGGCTTCCTGGCGGGCTCCCCGCCCGCTTCCCCTGGCGGCTCCCCCAAGGGCTCGCGGCCCGGCTCGCCGCTGCCCACGCCGCAGGCGCCGCGGGTGGACCTGCAGGGCGCCGAGCTCTGGAAGCGCTTCCACGAGATCGGCACGGAGATGATCATCACCAAGGCGGGAAGGTGAGGGCACGGCGGGGCCGCCACCCGCGCGCTCCCGGGGCGGGCGGGCACATCAAAGCGCCCCAAAACCGGGGGAACCCTCCAGATTTACGAGGCAGGTAGATGGCGATAATGTTAGATGGGCACGGGAACATGTGGCGTTTCGGGTTTCCTGTTCATTAGGGCGAGATCTGGGAGCCCCGTGCCCTTCTGGGGGGAAGCCTTTCCCCTTTCCAGGGGATACACATGGTAAAAACCTGGGAAGTATAAAAGTATTTGAACTTATTAGAAATTACAAAAACATATTTTATTGAATCCATATGCTACCGTCTGCATTTCCAGAGAGGCTTTATTAATGATTGAAACGCAGCCTTAAACAGCACAAAGCTGCATTTGTCTTAAAGGAGTCCAGTCGGGGAATTTTTGTTTTATCTTACAGGTGCACTGAAATAACAGCAAAAACTAGTTAGCCATAGTCAGGTTTTTACCTCCCTACTTATTCAGAAATGGTGGAGATAGGATTTTTTGTTTCCAGCAACTACTTTTAATAGATTGGTTTTTAATATATATATGTGTATTTGCACAGCAGCAAATACTAAGTAAACTGGAATAACTTTCAGATTTATAAAATGCAGGAGAGTATTTTATTAGCTTGCAGTCAGGAAGTTACTTTTTTCTTTTTTTTTTTCCTTTGTGCTTCATAAATGAATTTTTCTGATAAAAAGCATGCCAAGATAAGAGCTAAGGGCAGTTTTATGTTCAAACCACCCATTGGTTAGTTAATCCTTTTCTCCACAGAAGGATCTAAATCTTGAACGTTTGGATTTTCACCGTTTTTGTTTAATTTTTTTTTCAGAAATTTGCTCATAGATTCGTTTCTGCTTTCAATAAAGAAGTTTTACTATACCTTTCAAAGACAGAGTAGCTCTCGCACTTCACCTTTAGTATGTTGCAGACAGGAAGTCCCGTGTCAATAAAGACCATATTGTTGGGTTAGAGCATGGCACATTGGCTTTTATAACTGCATCCTTGCGGTGTTATAATTGTATCACCGTAGATTTAGCTTTCTAATTCGCTGCTACAGCAATGATACACAATTTTTCTGCTGTCACTTGAAACTTTAGTGGCAATTTGCCTTTCTGTAAGCCTTGGGCTTCCTGGGTGGAGGTGGTGTTTGCACATCTCCAGGAATACATTTCTTACTAATATCTCAAATGGGTTTTAAATGTGTGTACTGCTAAAGTAAAGTCTCAAACCAAATGATTTACTGTCTAACAATAAAGTTGAAATGATGTGGTAATAGCTGTACTCCCAAAGCGTATCCCCAAACATACAAAGCATTGTTCGAGTAAATGCACTTTAGAAATCTGTTTTGACATATCGAATGGGCCATTTCATGGCTATGTAACTATAATCGTCCAAAAGGACTCTGTAGGCTAAAAGGAAGAACTAGAAAAATCCCACGAAGCAGTTACTTTTCCTAAACAACCATTCCTGAGTCTGTTTCGTATTAAAAATGACCTCTCTCTTTCCAATGTTCAGGCGGATGTTTCCTGCAATGAGAGTGAAGATCTCAGGTTTAGACCCACATCAGCAGTATTACATTGCTATGGATATTGTGCCAGTGGATAACAAAAGATACAGGTATGGTGACTTTAAGGCAAAAAACATATGATGTAAGCTATAGGGTGCTTGGCTGTTGGAAGAAACTATTAACACAACATAAATTAGCAGAAGATCATATTTAACTCTCCTTGAAGGTTCTTATTTTCGTCACAGTGTATTTTAAAAGACCATATTGTACCAAGTATGCAAAGACAACTAAAATTTGTGTTGAAGCTCTTTATGATACATTTGCCTCACACTGTGTTTGTCCTGTGGGCAGATGCCCAGGTTTGGCTTTCAGAGTGCAGCCCTAGTGCGGTCAGGAAATGTTATAATATTTTATTCCTTCTCCTGTCAGTGGGAATTATTTCCTATTAACAAATAAATACAAAAATGTAAATTTTTTAGTACCAAATGTTATTAACATCTATTAATAACATTAATAGCATGGATATCTGATTTAAATACTTACAAGCTATCTTATAAATAAGTCATGCTTCAAATTGCTTATAGAATTTAATTTAGGAACTGTTTATCACTGAGATATTTGGTTGCTTAAACTAAAAGAATGGAATATTTCTAATTACTGTTACTTAAAGAATTAATGGCATTATTGTCTGGAGAATGATGTGAGGAACGAGAGGTTGTTCTTTGAATATTTAGGAGTAGAAACTTTGTGCTGAAGCTCTCACTGTTTTGAGGGTAGTTGTGGGAGCTGGATGGGCTCAGCAGAGCCACTTGTCCTGTAGAAATGATTGCAAGATTGAGCCCGCAGCAGTTCCTGTTGTGAGTTGAAGCCGTTTCCAAGGTCTTGCTTTACAGATGCAATCCCATGCTCCAGAGTAGCCGGGGGGAAGCCTGGCCAGAGTAGTTCAGAGGAGACAGGATCAGGTCTTTACCAATTGCGGGTTTGATTGTTTTAACCTATACTTAGTATAATGTAGGGAAAACCACTGCAGAATTAATTCTAGAACTAGGAATGTTTCAGACCATGATTAAAAGGTTGGTTCTGCAGGAATGCTGCCTTGTTTCCTAAGCAAACGCTGCCCTGTGTTTTTTCTTTACTTACCTCATTGACTGCTATTTTGTAATTTTCTTGTGTGGTGTATAAGACGTTTCTTAGGACCATTTTAGATTTTGAGTTTTTCAACAAGAGGCACCAGATACCAGGGCTGACAATGCCCAGCATATACAGTCAGGGGAGTCTTTCCTGTTTCTACCATAGACGAAAAAATGTTTCTTTTTCCTTGTACCAGTGTAGTGCAGTTTGAATGGAAACTTTTCTTTTTTTTTTCTTTTTTTTTTTTTGCTTTGTGTTTTGTGCATTTATTTAACAATCTAAACATATAATTCCTAGAAGGTCTGAACAAGTAATAGAAAAAGCAAGGTAGTTATTCCAAATTAATTTAAATGTTAATACTAAAAATTAAAAGCAGTTATACTGAGTATGAATTGTTTAAACCTCATTTCATTTAAAATAATTACAGTCATACTAACCTGCACTGTCTTCACAGTGTGGTACATGGTGCCCAGATAACTGAAGTAAAAAGAGTTGTATGAAGAGCAGTATTTTCTTAGTTGGCAACCAAGAATTTTTTGTATTCATGTATTAGTAACTATACCTTTAACCTTTCCACTGAATTTTAGTGTTTTACATGTTCCACCTGGTGCCTCTTCTCATTCTAATTTGTGCTTTTTATTTCTGTCTGTTATTTCAACTCTGGCTGTTTGTGCAGCTTCACACACTGTCTTGCAGATCTTTAAATTTCATAGAAATGACAACAGTGACACGGAGTCTAGTCTTTAGCTGACAGAGCAGATAGCAAAACTAATGGAAATAAAGAAAATTACATCTAGGTTTGTATTTCTAGCAAAATTTGGGCTTACAAATATATGGAAACTTACGCTGTAGCTCAAAATGTGTATTTATTACTAAATTTGTATTTATGTGTATTTATAACTTTATTTACTTTTCTAGGGAAAGCATTTATTTAGTATAAACCAAGAAATATAAAATAAATGAAAAATGTTTACAACAGTGATCTGAGGTGGAGAATTTGTCTCCAGTAGAGAATTTCACCAGCATCCTAGATCTTAGCTATGCAGCTTGATCTGAATTGTATGGAGCGATTCTTGCATTGGATCATTCTGTTTTCTGTTCTGACTGTGTTGCTTGTCTTTTTCTAATAAGGAACGGAATTGTGCAAAGATATAATTTGGTAAAGTCTTTATTGTTTTCATTTAAAAAGACAGATGAATTACAGGATTTTTACTGTACTTGAAAAAAAACCCTTTCAATTAATGCTTTTTAAACTGCTTTGTGAAATGCCTGCCTTCAAAATAGGTTTTTAACCAAAGCAGGCACAATTTTTGTTATAAAATCATCTTGTCAGCATTGGCCTATCAAATGAAATACAGACTTCATGTTTTCATCTTTAACTTTTTTGCAATACTATTCAAGACTATTAATCATGTATACTAAAATATCAAGAGCATAGTTTCACATACTTTCATTGTTTTTCTCAATCATAATGTTCTTTCCCTTCAATAGCTTTATTTATAGGGTCTTATGTTAGATTCAACATGATAAATCTTCCAAATATGGAATTACTACTCAATTTGATAAAAGAAGGACCAGATTCTTCCCTATTTGCTGATGCCTTTTCAGAGCAGAGCTGTAGCAGTCAATGAACTGACACCACCTTAAAGCTCATTTTGAAACCTAGCGTTGAGACCGTGACTGATTTTAGGAAGAGTAAGATCAGGTCAGAGTATGGATTTTTAACCTTATTTTTGCAGGTGCCAGGATGATGCTTTGAAACAATCAAAAAAGAATTATTTTTATTTATGCAAAATTGTGTCCTTTCATGTTTTGTTAATTGATGGGTTTTTGCGGTAAGCATGGACCCTAAATTATTTATGCTGAATGGGTCTAATAAATTCTTTTGGTGCTTGTGGTTAAAGGTGTTTGTTTTCCTTTTACAGGTACGTTTATCATAGTTCCAAGTGGATGGTGGCTGGTAATGCTGACTCCCCGGTGCCGCCTCGTGTTTATATTCATCCTGATTCACCTGCCTCGGGGGAGACATGGATGAGACAAGTGATCAGCTTTGACAAACTGAAGCTTACCAATAACGAGCTGGATGATCAAGGGCATGTGAGTACTCGCTCTTTCCTTGGTGGCATCATGTGTAGGCGCATTGCTCAACCCTGAGAGGCTCTGACGTACAGCTTCGGAGCGCCAGAAATAGGCTTTACTTTTCAGAGTTGTTTTGGAACTTTACTGTCCACATCTAAAAGCTTCTTACTTTCTGCCCTGATAATTAACTGCTTATTACAGCCTGCTGTTTTACTCCCCGCTCAAATAGAGGGCTCCTTCTGCAAAGTACGTCTTTACAAGGCTAAATTGCCTAATACAGAGGGGCAGAATTGCTCTCAGTATTTCCCACGGAGCATGCTATTCGCAACTTCTCCTACGATCGAAAAGGACACTTAAATTCACAAGTCGCTAGGAGAAACATTAATAGTGTGCAATAACTTCACGTGAATAAAAATACACTTAAGTATTTTCTTAACCTAAACGTTTGTGTGAAATCCCATGAGGTGTTAATAATTGCAGTCAAAAACGAACAACATGGGAGCTGGGTTTGCTCCGATGATGATTTATTGCATACCTTATGAAGCAAGACCCTTTCACAGCTGAGGCTCATTAATTCTGGAAAAGCTGGCGAAGACGTATGCAGTATGAGTGTTCTGTTTGCAAGTTCTAAATTGTTTAGTTATGACATTATCTAATGTGACAAAATGTGTTATGTTAATATTTCCTTTTCTCTTCAAAACTGTTGAAACATGACAGATGTAAGCCAGTATCATTCCAGCAATCCCTAAAATAGTTTTACTTGACACCTTAAGAAATAATTAAAAAATGAGGATTGTTTTTAGTCGGTGTGAAGTCTTTGATTTTACAAACCCCTGTAATAAATGACAAATGTTGGCATCCTTTCAAAAGGAGCATCAACTTCCAAGTGGTAATTTTAAGATGTTAGAGGAAAAGTTTTGAAACAGGATGTAGATTCCATTGTCCTTAGTGTAACCCAATTTATTAACCAGGATACTTTCTTCTTCAAGGAAAGGAGTGAAAGAAAATATACCTGGTGCAGAGCACAAAGACACCACACTCATCTTTCAGTATGGTTGTAACTCTGTGACATTGAGCCAGGTATTTTGCTAATAGATAGTCTGAGATTTTTCCTCCTTATTTGTGTTTGAAAATGCAGTGAACAGAGGCAGGAATACAGGAGCATGGCTGACCTAACAAATGTGATAACAAGGATAAAAAGAGTTCCATTTTTGCAATAGTTTTCCTTATTTTATTTTGGTCTTCCTTAAAAGAAATGTAGGGGTATTCATGCCTCTTCAGTTAGCAGTGCTTTTCTTGGATGGTACAAAGAGGTTTTATATTGCTTCATTCCAGAATTACAGTTATCGAGTCTTATTTGGGAGTGTCCATTTGAGTTAAGGTTAGCGTATGAAGTTCCCTCAGTTTCCCCAGTGTTTGTGTATTTGTGATTCCTCTCAAGAGGGACTTGTTTTCCCTGAATCTTGAGTCTATCGTAAGGGCTCTGAAAGTGAAGCAGATGCAAATGGATAAAATGTTGCTTTTCCAGCAGCGAGCTGGTTTTTGTACTCGGTGGGTGCAGAGGGAAGGTCTGTGGGTACTGTGTGGTCCACCCATGCACTTGCAGTTGCAAACAGCCCTGTGATAAAATCTCAGCTATGCAGAGAATTGTGTTATTCTATTTTTCCATCCCAGATTTTAGCTTTGTGTTAATTCTGAACTGAAACCTGTGTAGTGTACACAGCACACTATTATTTGTAATATAGGGGGATATAAATTTTCTGGTCTTTAGCTAAGTATTTTGGCTTGGAAATGAGTGAAGCAAAGCTCAAGTACAGTGATTTGAGACACATTGAACTGATTCAGAGCTATGGCAGTGCCCCTCCTCCCCAAAATGGAAATTTAAGTATTGAAATAAAAGGACAAAAGAAGGATGACTGTAAAATAATTTCATATTTCTCAAATCTGGAAAATTGCAAACATGTCATTCATAATTACCAGAAAAGGCAAAAGCAGAAAGCAGAAAAGTGTCTCTTCCAATGGATACATTTTTTCTTTTAAAGCTATGGTAGTGTGGAATGCTGTATTGAAAAAGCTATGCAGCCTCTGAATGCCTCTAGCAATAATGGAAAACGAATAATCATATTTTGTGATGAATATAAAAAAAAACAAAAACAATTGTTTCTCATAAGTAGGAAGAAACCATTTTTCTCAGGAGGGTAACGGGACGGATGGCGAATTAGAAGAGCTAGGAGTCAAGGGTGTAGAATCCCTCCAATATCTGTTCTTGTATCAGAAGTTCTGACTCTCCCTCCCCTGCATGGACATGGGGTATATTTAGGTTATTAGAAAGTAGGTTATTTTCCTCTCGTGCGTCGGAGAGTGGTTCAGAGAAACCTCAGTGGGGTTTCCACCAAGCAGTGTTGGCCTTTAGCTGTTGTTCTTTGGGAATGCCTCCCTGCTTTCTGCTTCTGGCAATTTAATCCGTGTTGAAATTGTTCCTTTATGCTTCCTGTGCTTGTCAAAGGTATAAACTTTTGCAGAGTTTTTGTGTTAAAATCCTGGGGGTAGGCTTTGATCTTGAAGGCTTTGAGGTAAGGAGCTTGCATGATGTCAGTCTAGAGCCCTTTCACCTATTCTAGAGTATTAACTCTCAGAATCTCTGAGAGAAGTGGTACATGTCCATGGGAATAGAGACAGTGTTTGCAAATAGGCACTAAGGTATAAATCCTACGCAGTATTTATGTTGTGGTAGTAGTTGGTGGCAGCCAGTTCATTCCCCTTGCATCGTATTGCCCTGGGATTAGCATTCTGTAAAAGGAGATCAGCCATCTCTGAGAGACTCACTGCTCGAGCACTTTCCAGATTCCATGCTGCCTGCTGCTATTTTCATCAGCATTTCAAGTGGGACTTTGTGACTGAGCAATTTTATAGTGCTGCTCAGCTCAGAGATTTTTGAAGTGCATATCTGTACATAGGACACTCTCTGATACATGGGTTCCACTTGCAGTCTGTGGAGATGAAGCAAAATTTGTATAGCTATGTTTACCTTGTGTGTTTCTGATATCAAATAGAGTGAATTTCCTTCTTTGGAAATACTGTACTCCTACAGAGCCATTAAAGACACACACTATGGCTTCTGTGTGTTTCATGTAAATTGTGATGCTAAGGAAAAGTAAACCTGGATTTTGCAGTTGTCACAGAAAAGTTCATCGTCTGGATGCTCTTTGCTAATGCCTCTCGTCCCTCTCTCATCTGCGGAGTGAGTGCTGCATTGTAAAAGCAGTCTCTCCCTCCGGCTGGTTAGAGCTGGCTAATTTTTCTATTTCAATGCAGTTTTTAAACTGAATTTCAGTGGAGGGGAAAAGTCAATATTTTTTATGCTATTTTCCATGCTTTTCAACTGAGTATTTTTTGATGCCGAGGAACATCTTTTAACTTTCAGTGAAAATGAGGCTGTTAGTGTGTTAATTGTTCCTTGGTGGTTGGGGTGGGTTTTTTTCCCCATTTGAAAGTGGGGCGAGGCTGGAAGCGGAGGCAGACTGTAACTCTGCCCAGACTTGGCTCCAAGTAGCGAGCTCTGCTTACAGTCACTGGGCAGTTATATGTTCTTGTCACAATGAAAAACTGTGAAACATCAGTATTTGCACTTGCAGTTTTCGTCTTAGTACAGAGGGAATCCATGTTCCTCAGCTCTACACACTTCCCTAACTGTCCGAGTGCTTGTGCTTTGGAGGGAGGATAAAGGAGGATTTTTGGCAAAAAACAGCAGCAAGGACTGTGTTGGTAGTGGGGAGGTGACTCTGTATTCTTGGCACAGTCATGTTGCTGGAGGATTGGCGTCTCCCCTGTGAAGGAGCATCTGTCTCTCCTTTGCTCTGGATGAGATGGTTGTGCCACGGTGGTGCTCATGCTCAGGGTCAGCTCTGAGGCGTTATTGTGGCAGAAGCTCTCAAAAGCCATTGCAAAGGTAATGCCAGCTTTGTGTGGCTGCAGGTGTTCTGGTGGCCTTTGCTGTGCCTCTTACCTGTGCGCTCCCTGCTGTGGTGTCTTCTGTGTGATCATGATTTCTTGACAGCTGCTGCGGCCAAAGTTTAATTTTACTTTTTGTGGGAGAGGTTTATTCCCGCATGAAATGTTTTCATCTTGTTCTGTGAGGACTTTGGAGAGAGAGGCAGGCCATTCAGCTGTGAGTTGAATGTAATGCCAGTTCATATTTGGGAACACAGTGGGATTTCTGATAGGGTTTTTTTTTTGGTGTTGGATTTGAAAGACATGAAGGGAAAGTTGCTGTTACTGCGGATAAACTGTTAGGTCCTATTGGTGCTTTTAAATGTGCAAGCACTGTGAAATGGAAAGCTGGAATCTCCTTCTCCTTAGCTTTCTCTTCGCAGACTGTTTTTGGAGTGCATGTTGCATCTCCCTCTCCTTTTATGTCCTGTCTTCATATGTTGCACTTTAATTCACAAGGGCTTTGCAGTTATGCATTATTTAGAGTTTGGAGTCCTTCAGATCACAAACAAAGATCCCATTGTTAGAAGACATGGTACAAAATCAAGAAAAAAAATATTGTTATGGATTTGCTAACTGCCAAAACAGTGTGTCAGCACAGGAAAATTCAGTACAGGACAGAGGCCAGACAGGTTGTTCTTAGGAGATGACATGGATCAGTTTAGCTGTAATAGCCACCCAGATAAGCGGTGGGAGGTGTTCATCTTTGTGCTGCTTTGATATCACTTGTTCTGATGTGTGAGCAGCGCTCTTTGTGGCTGCCAGGGTTATCGTTGACGTGTGGGCCAGCAGTGGTCTGCACCACAGAGCTGATGGGGTCAAGTAATCCGTGTGGGAGAGAACATGGCATGCTCAGTGACACACAGACAAATAGCGAGGCACGGAACAGCAGCGGACTTGAGCCGTGCAACATCTCTTCTTGATAATTTCTTTTTCTGTTGCACCGGTATCTCCCCTGGTACCACTGGGTGTTCACAGGAAAACAGGGTGAGGAATGTGCTGTCTTCTCTGCATTTTCATTTTGTAGATCTTTGCCGTTGGAGAACTGAGTGTTGTATAAGAGAAAACGCTTTTGCACGATGAAATATCTTGCTCTGCTCAAGATTTAAGAAACTTGAAAAAGACTTCATATGAGAACATCCATAGGGCACTCCCTGAGCAAATTAATTGGAGCCTGTGATGTCATTGTCAAAACCTTACTTAAAGGCTAATGAAACCCCTGATTATCCAGAAACTTGCCATACCAAAACAGGGTCATGTAATCTGGACAGGACCAAGTGTATTAAACTAGCCAAACTCCAGTTTATCCAAACAAATGTAATGTCCTCGATATAATTTGGGTGAATGAGCTTCCGTAGTGTCTGACATAGGGGCTCTGTTGAGTGCTTGAGCACATGTACATTCTGAGCCTACTCAAGGAGCAGGAAATTAAAAAGCTTCCTCAGAATGTTGATTAGTGGTTCCACAGGCCAATAGCCATAGGACTATTTATTTATCAAGTTACTAATTTCTTATGGCTTCCAACAATAATAGCAGAACTTCAGTATTTTTTTTCTTGAAATCCTTTAACAGTGGTTACCTGAAGTGGGGTAAAATAGAGGAAAAATTCTGTGGTTTGAATCTTCTTTAAAACTGGGGTGCAGTACCAAGAGGTATTTGTGTATTTAATTTTATGCAATGTGAGTTCATCCACTTCTCTTTTATGATTTATTTTTGATTCAGTTTTTATATGCTGGGAGGGTTTTTAAATTAAAATTCATTGTCTGTTTTATAGATTGATTGTTATTAACACTTCAGGGTTTTGGATTTTGTTATCATTTTACTTTTAAGTTTATGCTTCTTCACAGTGTGAGAGTCTCAGTTTGTGTTCCAATCAAGATTTGTTTCCAGCCTTTGGGATGTAAGGAAAAAAATTGCTCCAATAGTCCATTCTGGAGGTTTCAAAAACAAAAGGCAAATTTTTGCTGCTGTTAATCCTGTTAGGTCAAACCCAGACTTCAGTGGAAAAAAGTGACAAAACTTTCATAATTCCAGTGGGACCTGGACTTCACTCCTGATTTCTCTTTTAATTTTTTTCCTTTCTTTCCTTTTTTTTTTTGAGCCAGTTTCAATTGAGCCAGTCTCTGAATTTGGAGCTCCTGAGTCGTAATTTTTAAATGCTTAGGGTTGGCAATAACATAAATGCATAGGGATTAGACTACTGTAACAAGAACCTTCAGAGGTTAAAGAAAACATTTGATTTCCAGTAAGTGGCATGGTAAACACATACCATAATCTGTTCCAAAAAGCTATTAGCCCTGAAACAGCAGGGTGTCCTTTCTAACAAATGTTGTCTTTTTCCTTGCATGACTTCCCTGCGTAGATTATCCTTCACTCTATGCACAAATATCAGCCTCGTGTCCACGTCATCCGAAAAGACTGCGGAGATGATCTGTCCCCTGTCAAGCCCATCCCTTCGGGAGAAGGGGTGAAAGCCTTCTCCTTCCCTGAGACAGTCTTCACTACTGTCACAGCATACCAAAATCAACAGGTAATTTGGGCTTTCTGGTTAGCACTTTACAGGCTTTTCAGAGCAGACTAGAGATGTAAGAGATAGGAGAAAAATAGATACTGCCATTATATCCCTTATTGAAATAGAATGATCAAAACCCTTTTTTTACCAAAAGTAACTTTCGCTGTTAGCATTGCTGTAGTGCCTGGAGGCTATAGCTGGGCATTCAGAGATGCTGCATGTAAAAAAATCTTTCTTATTATGGAGATCACACAGTCCAATTAGCTTGCTTAACAGTGTCTTGGTTCTAAACACAGCATTGAAGAGCAAGGCAAAGAGCAGTCTAATTTTTAAAGGTGTTTCTGTACCTTTAAATGTAGATACGTGTCAGGAGAGGCTTTTTAAAGCACTTTTGTTCTTGACTCCAGTGCTTTTAATACTCCCAGGACCTTAACAGAGAAGCTGAGTTCTGAAGAAAGTTTCAGTTGTTTTTATTAACTGCATTCAGTCTATATTATTAAGGACAATTTATCTGGATCCACATGGATTCAAAGTCAAAAGTGAACTGCAGATTGTATCACTCGGCTTCTTCTACTTCTTGTTTAAGTTTTAGCAGACAATGACACCATAATTAGTGTTGTGACATTTTATTAATTCTATATAAATTATTTCAGCTGTATTTTTTGAAATTACATACTCATTGATAACTTTACAAAGAGAGGAGCAGGATAGCCATGAAATATAAGTATTTGGCAAATTTCCCATTTATTAAAATAAATTCTGGTTATTTCAGGTGTGGTGTGTTTTGCTGGGTTTTTTGTTGGTTGGTTGGTTGGTTAATTTGGTTTGTTTTTTTTTTTTCATGGAGGATAATAACCTAGAGATAATCTCTCTTTTCACATTTCCTTCTTGACCAGTACAGAAATAAAATTTAATTTAAATTTTATTACAGTTAGTGTACTCTCTTAAATGAAGAAGGACATTTGCCTGAAGTTTTTTCTCAGTAATTCCTACTGCCATTTATCAGTTTTAAATACCTATTAGCTTTTCCAGGGAAGTGCAAAAATAATGATCAGAGGATTGGTCCTTATTTTGCTATTTCAGGACAACCATCTTAAACCATATAAATATGAAGATGTTTCCTCTGTCAACTTTTTTTTTTTCTGTCAGTAGAGTTGTTTTCTGAGCTACTTATCTGAGTTTAATAATATTCACAGATAACTCGTCTGAAGATTGATAGGAATCCATTCGCCAAAGGCTTTAGAGATTCGGGCCGTAACAGGTAGGTGTTGGGAAGGAGCTGGGCTTGTTCCTGCGTACAGAATCAGTTTGTGAAGGCTGTTAAAGGCAAACACTTGTACTTACACACAAACTAATTTGAGAACTCAGACTCCACGAGGGACCACTCCAACTTCTCAGTAATGTTCTCTGTTGTGAGTTGCCATTGCTACACCTCTGACCATCTAGGTCAAGAACAGACTGGCTCTTGGCTTGACTTATGTACTCAAGTTTCCTTTCAGTAGAAGCAGTGACACACCATAAAGGTTGCAAATGGACTTAATGTATACTCAGGTCCGTGATTTCAGGCTGTGCTGGAAATCTCCTCTTTCTCCTGGCTGGAGACAAGTTGCAGATATCATTGTCAAACTACAAGCTTAGGTTCTCTTGCACGTAAGTGGCACATAGCATGAGTTAATGGCTTGTTTTCTCTTTGAGGGGGAGAAACTGGTTTGTGCAGTAACCTTATGTTACTTGCCTAGGAGGTGGGAGACCTGTGTTCAAGTGTCTGTTTACTGTAAGGAGTTTTAAATCCTTAGGTGAATACTTTTTCTAGCAGGTTAGAAGACCTTGAAATGAGACTGCTTTCCATATCTTCTGGGGCAGATGGACTGATTATTGCTTATTCTCTCTTGATCCATTAATCTTTCAAGATAGCAGTGGGAAATCTGTGTAGTCAAGGTGGAGACTTAGGTCTGGCCTGGGCTGCCAGTGCCAATGAGGTATTTTGCCTGATGACTGTTCAATGCAAGCTACTTAAGCCTGTTTTGAATTGTATGTTAAACCATTTCAGCTACAAAAAAAGCACTATTTCATTGTGGTGTACAGTACACATCACTTCCAGCTACCACATTGTGTTTGGTGTCTGCAGCTGCTATATTTATGACCAGGCCTTGCAGAGAAGGGAGCAGACTGTGCTGGTAGGAATGATCAGAGAGTTTCTTTTTGATAGTTGTTTTATTGAGCTTCTCTGTTAGCAGAAGCTACAGCATTAAAGACTGTTTTACATAAGACCTGAGTTACATAAAACCTGAAACTGGACAGCAAATGAAAGTAGTTTTTGGAAAATGAATACTTATTCATTTTCTAAGGGATGATGTAGTTGTAAAGATTTGCAGGCATTCACTGTAAGTATCTTTTCAGTATGTCTGAGATTTTGTCTTCTATCAAGAAATAAGTATCCATGTTCTGTGGCCACTGACATAAATAGAGCTTTGCCCTCTTTTGTAGCCTTCTGATTAGAAATTAAGTGAACAGTAGCTTCCAGGTTAATGCAGTGATTTAAGAAGCAAAACATGCTGTGTGTACTTTAGGAAGAAAAGGGTTGCCAAACATACCCTGTTTGAAAGCTCTCTGTCTCTCACATAGGCAGTGTCTCTGCTGTGCTTGCCGTTTGCAGAACTATAAAATAAGTACTATGGAACCTCCTAAGAAACCCTGGTCCTCTGAAACATGCAAATTTAGGTGGACTTAGAATTTCTTCCATAATGTTACATGAAACAAGGGAAGATACCCTTTTAGACAGAAAGGAAATAATTGTTCAGAAACAATTGAACAGGTTTTAATGTGGTGGGACAGCTCTGGAATTACCTGAGGATGATGTAAGAGTACTGCATCTGCAAATACACAAACACAGTTATGTGACTAGGTTTTTTNTTTTTTTTTTTTTTTTTTTTTTTTTTTTTTTTTTTTTTTTTTTTTGTTGGGCTGCTAGGAATAGTCTGGTTCAGTCATTAGAAAAAAAGCAGGATATTTTGATTGAAAGTTATTTTTTATGGAAATTAATTAAGAAGGCAAGGCCTGAAGAAAGAGCCAGCATCTCTAAAATGGAGAATCTCTAAAATGGAAAATCTCTAAATTGGAGCAGCCTTTAGATGAGGTCTGAGTACCTTTACTCTACAAACACACTCATTACAGAACTGACTCTGCAAACTCTCATTTGTTGCAAATTGACATTGTTTTACTGAGGTCAGTATTGCTGTTTTCTTTTATAGTCTGCATTACTGGATAAGTATGTTTGGGAATTCAACTCGGAATTTTAATTGTCAAGGAAAATTTCTATTGGTATATTCAGTGGATTATTATTTTGCTCTGTTACTAAACACTGAAATTAAATGTTAAGGTTCTGTTATCCTCATTGTTCTAGCTGGTGTGTTTATCATTGAGGCATTTTAGTCTGAAACAGGATTAAAAAATACTGTGGTAAAATTATACCCAGCTTTTCAATATTATTTTAATGCAGCTATCTCACTCTCCACTGCTGCATGCAGTAATTCTGTTGAATTAAAAATATGCCCTTCTAGGTCATTCCCATTAAGTCCCACAGGCCATTTTACAGAAATCAGTGGGTTCACCTTTTAAAAACATTCCCTGTGCATTTGCAAAGTGCAACAGAATTTAGGTGCTGAGAGTAATTTCATTCTTCAGCTGGGCCTTAAGTTTTACCCTATAAAAACTTTTACTCAGGAAAGGACCAGAATCTCTCCCTTTAAATACTTTGGGAAAAACAACTGTTTTGTTAAATAAACTTGGGCATTTGATAACACAAATTAGGGTGGTGATAAAATGTGGAAATTGTTCAAAGGCATCTTGTATAAATTATCACCTTGGCCACACTCCTCCAGGAGGTGGCTTTTATCTCTGCTTTAACTAGAAATGAAAATTCACCATTACTGCAGAAAATTAAGGCTATTTTTTAAGTCCAGGTTCAGCTAATAAACGCTTTGTAAGTGTTTCCTGACAGACATTTGTGTTCCTGCTGGAAGGAGTGGGATCAGAACATGTCAGTTGCTTCAGATTGGGGTATTTGTATAATTTAATTTTACAAAGTACTGCTGCTCAAAGGCAAGCACTTGTATTCGGTGTGTGCCCGATGCTGACACTCAACAGGCCTTTGGGGCCCAGCAGCCAAAAATAACACCAAAATTACACCTCTAAATTTATATACCTCTGAGGTGTATTATTTATAAATAATTGTCAGAAAACAAATGGGCCTTTATCTTCAGGAAACAGATTCTTCTAAATAGTGTCTGCCACCATTGTCTACACAGTTACTTCTCTTTTCTCAGGACACTGTTTCAAGAAAATGAGTGAAGACTTTTAGTTTCTAAAGGCACTTTGTTTAGCAAAACAACATTGTTTTATATATGATTTTATTAGCAAAATAGCTGTACATCCTTGCCTTGCTCACATTCTAAGTGTGATTTTCCAGCTTATTAGTAATGACTGGGAATTCTGTTTTAATATAAATTGTCAGTGGATCATCTTAATTCTAGGAAGAAATAGCAGATCATCCCTTTTGCAGTTAAAGTTTTAACTGCCAGAGGGATGATCTCTTTAAGAAACATCATACTAGCAAAACATTTAAAATAATTTTAGCCAAATCTTCCCACTCAAACAGCCCGCCCAAAAGTCGCAAAATATTGAAATAGAGAGCCAGGCTTGTAGAATTGGAAAACATTTTGTGTGCTGTTAGCCCAGTGGTTGCAGGTCCCTGTGGTCTCATGGATAAGCTGTAAGGCTCTTTTCTAAAAAGCAAAATCAACTTGAAAATAATCCTGAAATGTTACTAATTTTTGTATGTTTCTGAGGTCCAGTATCCAGAGACGTGTGGCAAAATACAGCTTGCTTTCATGACACCATAATTCTTTTGTTCTAAATAGAATGGGACTGGAAGCTCTGGTAGAGTCTTACGCCTTCTGGAGACCTTCACTGAGGACACTTACATTTGAGGACATACCTGGGATACCCAAACAAGGTAAAAAGCATCTTTGTTCTTTCAAAACAAAAATGAAAGATGAAGCTGTGCCCATCATACCTTATGAAAGTCTAGGTAAGTGTGTCACTCACAAGACAAAAACAACCACAGAGCAGCCATCCTCCCTCATCAGAGTTATTCTAAGTTAGAAAACTAATGCTAACTCAACCACCATGGTGATAAAAATGTTAGATTGTAAAGAAAAATCAGATCACATGTGGAGGAGAATGCCAGTTATTTAAAGATTGAATAAGCTATTCCTTAGTGTTATGCTCTGGCTAGATACAGAAGGTAGAGATCACTTACAGATGTTCTATTGTACACATCCAAACTGCAGTGTAGGAATGACTTGTTTTTTTAAGAGAGAAAAAAAAAGAATGAGAGAAGAAATGGTCTCTTAAGCAATGAGTAAATTGGAGGAAGCTTAATTTGTTTTCTTCTTAGAACACCTTCTTGATTCTTAAAGACCTGAAAATTGTTCAGTAAATGGGCCAACAAACTTTATCTGCATCCTAGAGCTTAAAGAAATGGATCTCCTCTCTGTTTTGCTCTTTTCTGCTCTTTACTTTTTGTTGGAAACTTCTTTGTTTCCACTTTCTCCATTGTGCAGGTTTTGTCATGAATGAGGAAAATATTTAAATGGCCCATTTGGACTTGTACTCTTTTCGGAGTTCTTTTGTTTCTGGAATATACACCAACGCACATAGAAAACCTCTCAGCCTTTTCCCTGCTAAATCAGACATATTTCTCCCAATGCTTTGCATTTTCTGCTACCAAATTTACAAATATCCAGTCTGGTTTCTTGATAATGTATTGATTGCAAAGTTGTTAAACATCTTCAGAGCAAAAATCCAGAACACAGAGAAATTAAGAGGAATCACTTTTGTCAGCTTTTTGGTCCACTCCTCTGAGAAATCTTGAATTTCAGTCCTTGATATTGGCCACTAAAAGAAGGTTTTGTGCCAAGTCATAGATACATTGGATGAGTGTTGGCAGAATTTTGGGCATAGCATGGGGGTGAGGGATGGTCTCATCAAAACGGCTTTTAATGAGAAGATAGAATGAGACCTGAAATACCTTTTCAGACTGTGTAAGACTGAAAGGTAACATTTAGGAGACAGATCAGCTTTATTGGCTGTTTGTGTGTAGGAGCATTTTTTGGGAGCAGGGGAACTGCTGCCATGAACTTCCTGCTTCCCTTTCTGACCTTGCCTCAGGTTAAGAAGATTGTTGAAGTTACTCTTGATATTCTGGGGATGGAAACTGGGATCCTTGCAAAAACTTTAGTCATCTGTGCCTTGGACATAGAGACTTTGCAAAAGACCCCCTTAGAAATTTGTCCTGTTTTTTAACACTGAGAGTGCCAATCTTCAGATAGTGGAGGCATTGATGGAGATTAAAATAAAAATGTCTCTTATACCAGGATTTCTCTAATGTGGCAGTGTATAATGGTGCCTTGTGCTTGTGGTGTCCTGTTAACAGAGAAGCAGCAGCAAGCAGCATACTTTAGTAATGCATTTTTCTTTTTACTAGCTCACCTATTATGATAGTCTGTTAACTTATTGACAGAATTTCTCTCTTTGCAGCATCAAGCTATTTGATTGTTAATGTGATTCATAAGCAGGAGGTCTTTCTTGTTAAGTGTCTTCTGCCTGGGACACTGTAAAAGGCCCCAGTTAATTTTTCCACACTCAGTTTTCAGGAAGATGCAATCTTTTAAGGAAAGGAAATCTTCCTTGCAGCTGGGAAACTTTCAGACCTGAAAAAAGGCTTCACCTGTAGCAAGCAGTTTGCTTTCAGGAGCATAAAAAGTTCTGATATTGGCAAATGAACAATATGCAAATGATTTACTGCAAACCTATCCATTCAAGAAATGAAGCAGCTATGTGCAGTGTTTGGCCTACACTTTTCCTGAAGGTGTTCTGAATTTTTTGGTTATTCTCAGAATTTTTTGGTTTGAAGTCAGAAGTTTTTTGTTCTGAAGTTGGGAACTTTCCTGAAGCTGTTATCTGTGAGGGCCTCTGAGTCAAGGAACTGGTTCCTCAGCTGGTGCTCTGACAGTGACAGTCAGGCACAGAGTACTTGAAACACATTCTGGACTGTAGCAAGAGCGTAGACAAGCTAAAAATCCTACTTTTGAAGAAGGCTCCCTGTTATGTGGTACTCACTTCGCTACATCTTAACTGCTATGCATTTTCCTTCCATGTCATATAAGAAGTAGTTAACCTTTTGGGCTCTAAATACTGAGTGATGGTTGTAAAAACATAACTTCAATTCTCTTTCTTGGTCAAGTTGTTTCTTTAGCATGCATGTGGTTTATTCACACATTGTCCTGTGCATGTAGGTAAAAAAATTTAATTAATTTGAGTTGGATTTAATCTTAAGGGTTATTATAAAAGACAAAGGTCTTGATCTTTCACCTAGGAAGGGGGCCTTTCCCAGTGTGCTTCTTACACTGTAATATTCTCTTCCAGGAAATGCAGGTTCCTCTACTTTACTCCAGGGAACTGGCAGTGGAGTGCCATCTACCCACCCCCACCTTTTACCAGGCTCCCCTTGCTCATCTCCCGCCTTCCACCTCAGCCCCAACACCAGCCAGCTCTGCACCCTTGCTCCAGCTGACTACACAGCCTGTGCCCGCTCGGGCCTGACCCTGAACAGATACAGCACCTCCCTGGCCGAAACCTACAACCGGCTCACCAACCAGACCAGTGAGACCTTCGCCCCCCCAAGGACTCCCTCCTACGTCGGCGTGTCGAGCAGCACGACTGTGAATATGTCCATGAGCGGCAATGATGGGGATGCATTCAGCTGCCCACAGACTGGCTTATCCATGCAGATTTCAGGGATGTCTCCACAGCTCCAGTACATCATGCCTTCCCCATCCAGCAATGCCTTTACCACTAATCAAACCCACCAAGGCTCCTACAACACATTTAGACTGCACAGTCCCTGTGCACTCTATGGATATAACTTTTCCACATCCCCTAAACTGGCTGCCAGTCCTGAGAAAATAGTTTCTTCCCAAGGAAGTTTCTTGGGGTCTTCACCAAGTGGAACCATGACGGATCGGCAGATGTTGCCCCCTGTGGAAGGAGTGCACTTACTTAGCAGTGGGGGGCAGCAGAATTTCTTTGACTCTAGGACCCTAGGAAGCTTGACACTCTCATCTTCTCAAGTGTCTGCACATATGGTTTGATGAAGCCTTTAAGTAAAAGTACAGTATGTTTGGTGTCTACAATGTATTTCTTTCGGAATATGAAAGGACACTCGATGTAGCTTGTAAAGTGTGTGTATATATAATATGAGAGGAAGTTTCACTGAAATTTTGCCTTGCTTGTGGCCAGATTATTCTCCTATTTTGAGTTACACAGAGTTTGCTGCGGTGCAGACTGCTTTAGTTTTCTGGTATAATACACTTAGTTGTATAACACGTTGGGACATATGCAACAAATTAAGTAAGACTTCCTCCCCTTTCCCCCTCCTCTGTTCTAACCCCTTTAAAGAATGAAGTGACACTTGGAGTATTAAACAACACAAAAAAGCCCACTTATATTTCCTATAGTACTCTATAGTGAGTTTCTTTAAAGCATTCATACAATAAGCTGATGCACCAAAGGCATTTTACAACTTTCTTCTGTTATAAGGGATACAAAGGATATTTGGACTTCTTAGTGTTAAGCATCAAGCATCCAGCCTAAAATAGAAGTTTAGCTAATGGATTATTTACAAAGTAAACAGAAAGATTAGTTTGCCTTCGCATGATATGCTGTTTTTAGCTTATCAACGGCACAGCATTCTCACTGAAGATTTGGTTTTATTCAGCATTAGTCTAGATTTATGATTATATATTTGAAGACAAATAATGCATATTCAAATTGCGGTGATAGGAATAATTCAGACAAACAGCACTAGAAGCAGCATTCCTTTGTATGAAATGAACATTGGGGTGCTTAATTTTTGTCAGAGGTAGGGTTTGATGCATTTTTCCTCCACAAATATTGCCTATAAGACATTTACTCGACAGTAAGATATTCTAATGTATCTTTGTTTTTGTATTCTTACTTTTTTAAAGAACAATTCAGTTTGATTTAGGAAAAAAAAAGTGAGCACGATGAGAAATTCTGTTATTGGTTTTACCTGTTTTGTGTGCGAGAGACATGTTTCGGGTTTGGTTTTTTTCTTTTGTATTTGCTTGGTTGGGTGTTTTGTTTTTTGTTTGTTTTTTTTTTTTTTAAGAAGGGCAAAAGGTCCTGCAGCCTCAGTATTTCAAAAATACATTACCTGTATCAATTAGGCAGATGACCCAGTTTGCCCAAAAGTATTTCTGGAAGCAGAATGCTGTCATAGCTGCTTTCCTGTTGCTCAGGTTTTGTCCTGGAACAGGAGAGGTTTCCTCCATTCCCACCTCTGGCTTCTAAATGGCCATTGTAAGAATGTACATCACCATCTGCTCCTGACCAGGCTTCTCCAGAGTGACAAGGACAACAGGGAGGCATTTACCAGGGTGAAATTTCTGTCCTCATCTGCACCTGCACCTGCGCAGCCCAGGTGTGTACCAGTCCTTCTGCAAAAGCTGCTTCTCAGCTGCCTATCTGTCAGAGCTGAACCACAGGGGTTGTGAAACAAACTTTAGTGCTTGAGAGAACAGGTCATCTCCTATAGTTTGCTAATCCTCACTTATATTGTGATGTAAAGGCATTCTAAGGTGGATACAGATGTGTTTGAAAATGCTTCCAAAGTCAGCATTGAAGGAGATTAAGGTCTTTCAGGTTTATGTTTGTTGGATTTTTATTGGTGAAGGTGAATTTTCATGTGTCTCAAGTGTTCCTATATCTTTTCAGGCAAAATAGTGGGCTTACTCACTCTCACTTCAAAAAAGACTCATTTCAGCTAATATTTCTTCAGTGGGATGGAGATAACACATGCAGAAACAGCCTTCTTGCTACCTCCTCTTATCTGGGAATAGAGCAGCAATCTTTAAGCCTCTGCTTAAGCACTCTCTGAAGAATGCTTTATTTTTATTGGTTATGAACTTGTTTCTGTTAAAGATAAGTATAAAGTTAGAAAGAGAAGACGATGCAATTGAGGTGATGTGGGCTTCCTTCTTAAACTTTCTAAGTGACCTTTCTGAGTAAACCTAAGTTCACTCAGTCTCTATCAGATTTTTTCCTTCTGAAAAACATGATGATAGCACTTCTCTTCCTCTGAAAAATGGGTGACAGTACATTGAAGATAAAGATCATCTTTACATTTGATGTGCTGTGGACAATATATTACAGATGAATGGCTGGGTAGTGTTCATATATGAATATAACAAGATAAATTTGTGTACTTCAGCTCTGTTGCTGGTCTTGGCAGTGCAGTATCCTTTGAGGCATATTTCCTAGAAGACATGCAATGCTAAAACGTCATTCAAACTCATGCTTTTTTTTTTTTGTGAGATGGTTCTAAGGTCTGTAGAAGATGGGAAAATTTTCAGCTGTGCAAATTATCATAGCTCTATTGGTTTAAATTAAGAAGTAACTTCCGTATAGTTATTCCTGCTCTAGGCAAAACTTAGAAATTTTGCAGTTGGAAAAATATTAAGTGGAAAGATGATACAATTAATCTGTACTTGAAAAAGCATAAGTAGCCATATCAACATATCAGCTGTGACTAGGTAGAAATATGGAAGAGCTAAATCATTCATGTTCCTATAGGGAGAGAGAAAAAAAAAGGGTTGTGCATGGATATTCATGATGGTGCTCCTGTCAAGACTATGTACTTTATTGTCTGGGAATTTTTTAGAACTGGTCTCTTATTTTTCTTCAAATTATTCTTGTCATATAATCATACAATATTGTTTTATTTGTTCCTTAAAATTTGAATAATATTGTAAATATTGGTTTGTCATTGTGAAAAGACTAGCTTTTTATCAATACAGTAAATGCTATGTATGCATTATATCTATAATTATATATATCTGTATTTTACAAAAATGCCACAGAAAATATATTAAAATGTGTATTCAAACACTTTTTACTACATTTGGAAAACTGAGAGACTTAGGCCTATTTTTTTCACTACAGCTTCAGCAAGACCAAAGACAGTGACTCGAAGGTAAGCTGTGAATTTCAGAGACTTAATACAACAAGTCCACAATTCTTTAACCACTTGCAGTTGAACCTCTCTTGTTATTTCTATGCAAAAGAATAGTCCCAACAAGTGCTGTGTATAAGGAGATACTGGGCTGAAAGCAGAGCTGTGAGGTTTTTATGTGGGGAAAATGGACTGAGCTGCTTGCCAGGGTCTTTAGCCAGTGATGGAACTTTGATACTTCTCACAGCCCATATTATCCTAGCTGCCAAGACCAGTTCAGCTGCGCTGTATCAACTGGATCTGAGAAGTTAGCGCTTCCATGCAACTAGTTTCTTGAGCAGGGGCTTGGTACTTTGCACATTTTCTCTCCCTGTATTTCCTTGGTAATTTGCCCTTTGGTTCTGCTACTTCTAAATGCAAAAAGCCATTGATTTTGAAGGCAGAATTTACAACCAATAATCATGTGGGTATACTGTTACTCAGCAATGAGCAGCATTTCTCCCTCCAGGAATACTGTTAGGCATAGTGGCCTTATTTCCTATTGTACTGCAATAAACGATTCCATGTGACATAGGGCACAGGGCCTGAAAATCTGATTACTTCAGAGACTAGGGTTTCATAGTCACTTAACACCAGCATTGTTGCAAATGACCAGAATTAGGACAAGAGAAGTAGGCATGAAATGCTTGATCATAAATATCAGGCCTCCAGGGAGAATGAAAGCTTCTGTTTTTAATAAGAGAACAGTCCTTTTTTATTATGATTTTATTTTATTTTTTTCTATAGCATCATCAGACTCTAAGAGGGTTCATTTATGCTTCAGCAGAGGGACAACTGGAGCAACTTGAAAGTCATGGGCATTGTTGTCATTAATGCTAGCTAGTAAGCCTGTACCTTAAGCAGTTCAACAGAAGAAAAATATAAATAGTCCTCAGAAGTAGCTCACAAGCTATATGGGTATATTTTTCTTGTAAAGATAATATATCTAATTAATCTGTATAGAACTATGCTTTAAAAGGTTGCCATTCATCATAATGAGTTAGTGCTTTTCCGGGGTTGACTGCAGTTAACAAAAACTGTTACTTTGTCAGTTGAGCTCTTCATTAATGTGATCCTCAAGAATCAATACTTTGCCTTGTATCTATGACAAAGTTGTAGATATGCCAATTTGGTATATGCAAAATTACAGGAAAATTCATTTTTGCCTTATATTCCATCATATTCCTCAGTTACATGGTTGATTCAAAACATTGACTTGACAAGGTGACACACACTTCTCAGAGGTGATGACTTTCATCATTAAGAAATAGCATTTCTAGAGAATTCAAGTTGCTTTAAATGCTTTTTGTCAGTGATGTTCTGTATAAACTCTGAAAAGATGTTTGTTACCCAAAAAAAGAAGTCCTTTGCAGTCACTGCTTACTCTTGAAATCCTATGTATTCACCACTTACTCTTGAAAAGAGTGTTGAATTGGCCATAAATCCATCTCAGTTAGCTGGTGCCCAAACAGAGCAATTACAACAAAATAAGAATCTGAATCTTCTGCCTCAATTTTAGAATTTGAGGTACATAAAGTAAATGTTTTTAAGAATCATCTGTAAATCTGCTCAAATACTGTGGGCATATAGAAGCACTCAGCTGAATTTCATTTGTGTGTCACTTTCAGAGGTTTATTGGCACTTAAATAGTTAATATCTCATATCTTCCACTACTGCAGAATGAACATGAAACTTCCATGAGATGGATAAATTTCCAATTTTTTTCTTTGAGGCCTTTCTAAATGTTGGAGGTAGCACCCAGGTTTCAAGACAAGCACCTGGGTTCCAGTTTTGCAGCAGGGAGTGGCAGGAGATATGGAGATCACACATATGGAGCCTACAGTGCCACCACACATTTTTGGAATGTCACAGGTGCTGTGGGGACACCCACAATGTACAGTTCTAGCCAAGCATATCTCAGTGCACCTCTCACAGGCAGCTGTAGCCTAAACTGAGAACTGACATCAAGGCCTAGCCGGGAAGGGCAAAGTATGATGTGAAAATACTTAGTCTACCTGAAAGCTGGGCCACAGCAGTGGATGTTAAGCATAACCCAGAACAGACTTGGCATTTGTCAATGCTGCTGCCACTTTGACTAATCCACACCCTTATGTTCATTTGCACACCACTGCTTTTATTTAGATGCTATAATAGAGAGCCAAGAATAAATTTAGAGCACATTGAAGGAAAACTGGACCCACTGTGGCCACTGGTAATGTTGCCACTGACTTGAGCTTTATGGATACCACATTTCCAGTCCCTAAGACATCCCCCTTTCTGTTCCAGACTTCTTTACCCACACAGCAGCTGTAGTCATAATGTCTTGGCCATTTTTCTGTCCATTTGTGATCTTTTTCAGATGGATAACTGGCTTTTTTGCATTTCACATTCTCATATTTTGTTTTTATATTTGTGATTCTGCAGTTTTTGAGGCATAGACTGAAAGACAAGACAAAGTTGCAACTCATTGCTCCATCCCCCAGAAGCTCTGCTGATGGATGGTGTATCCTTTCCACTGAAGATAATTGACTATATATTTCCCCACAATGATTCTGTATTTTACAGAGAAAAGTAATAAAAATAGAGGTTGTATCACAACCAAAGCAGTGTTTCCATTCCTCAGGCAATGTTTTTCAGTAACCCAAAGGAAAATGCCTCTCCACCCTTTCCTGGTTGCTATACTCGGTATATGGTTCTCAGTAAGAAGAAAACCAGATGCCATACTTAAATGTAAGATGGCAGAAACCAGAAAAGCAGAAAAATGGATCCCAATTCAGGGAAGTGTTCCCAGATAGTCTTTGTATTCTTTGAAGTGCAATATGGACACTAATGCTTCCAGACACATCTGCAAAGACCTTTGATAGGTCCTGCAGACGTTTGCTGTTGTTGTGTGATAAAGGCCTTGCTGATGCAGTGAGCACTACGGATTACCTGCAACATGCACAGGCAGGGTGTTGTCAGTGTC